GGATTCAGATCTTGTGACATGGTGCATTATCATGCTGGAAATAGCCATTAGGAGATGGTTAAATTGTGGCCATGAAGTGATGCACAATGCTCAAATAGATGGTAGCATTCAAGCAATGATTGATTGGGATTAACTGGCCCAAATTGTGCCAAGAAAACTTCCCCCACACCATTACACCTCCTTCACTAGCCTGGGCTGCTGACACAAGGCACATTAGGTCCATGGATTCATGCTTTTGAAGCAAAATTCTGACCGTACCATCTGTGTGCCTCAGCAGAAATCGAGATTGATCAGATCATATGTTTTTCCAGTCTTCAACTGTCCAGTTTTGGTTAGCCTGTGCAGTGGGCACAGGCTCACCAAAACTGGACAGCTTTCTTGTTCTTGGCTGACAGAAGTGGAATCCAACACCATCTTTTGCTGTTGTAGCCCATCCGCCTCAAGGTTTGACATGTTGTGTATTCTGAGATGCTTTTCTGCTCACTACAGTTGTACAGAGTGCTTATCTGAGTTACTGTAGCCTTTCTGACAGCTTAAACCAGTCTGGCCATTCTCTGTTGACCTCTTTTATCAACAAGGCATTTCCTTTCACAGAGCTGTCGCTCACTGGATGTTTTTTCTTTGTTGCACCATTCTGAGGAAACTCTAGAGACTGTCGTGTATGAAAATTCCAGGAAATCAGCAGTTTTAGAAATACTCACACCAGCTCATCTGGCACCAATAAACATGCCACAAATCACTGAGATCACATTTTTTCTCTATTTTGATAGTTGATGTGAACATTATCTGAAGCTGTTGGCCCGTATGTGCATGCTTTTATGCACTGCAACATTGCCACATGACTGGCTAGATAAATGAGTAGATGTAGATTTAGAATTTTAAATAAATGAAGTGTTTTCTGACCATTGCACAGTACCATAGATGCTAAAAGATGTATAGTCCCATACTAAAAGGGCTTTTCAGATGAAAGCTTTTCTGACAGTGTAATTTCATTGAAAATTATTCTTAATATATCTCCGGAAACTATTTTTATTCCTCAAATTGTACCAAGTTTCCAGTCATTGTCAGGTTTTAAATATTTCACTAAACAGCAAAGAAACAATGAATGAAAGATTTGATGTGGATTTGATTGTTTTTGTTTGAGTGGCAGTTTTTATAATTCATTCAAACACATTAATGTGAATGCTTGATGGAGCACATAGAGGAGCATAACTGTATGTGTGCGTATATATAATAAAATGATGTCATGACTGCAAGTATTTTGTCCCAGCATGGCTAGACAGCATCACTACCCTTTTCAGACATCTCTCTCTCTCTCTCTCTCTCTCTCTCTCTCTCTCTTTCTCTCTCTCTTACCTTTCTCAATTGTTCTTCCCCTGTTACTCAAACTCAAAAATTTTGCTCTAAACTTTGTGCTCTCCTGCTCTTGTCCTCTCTCCCACTCACACACCCACACAGGAGCCATGCAGCCCACACTCTTCTCCACACTCATACACACACTACACCTCTCCACTTTTTCACCATCCCTACCCACAGAGCTGGAACACACACACTGCACATTTCATGCACATTTCACCTTCGCTTCTTTCTCTCTCTCCCTCGCTCTGGGGTGATGCACTGGAACATTCGAACTGCATCTTGCCATCCCTTCATCTTTTTCATCTCATCCCTCTCTTTTCGCCCACTAGTCCTCCTACACGCATACACACTCTCTCTTTTTTTCTCTTTTTTCTTTCACTTTCGCTCTCCCTCCCTCTTCCTCCCTCTTTCTCTCCCTCGAATGACAAGCGGAGAGAGCTAGAGAGGCCAATTACCCTTCTGCAGACTTGGTGAGTGTGTTATGTAAAATAAGGACACCTTCTGCTGTCTGCAACAGGCAAAACTTCACTTCGGAGTGGAGTAAACTCCTGAGGAGTGCTCATATGTGTGGAAATCTATGTGTACATGTGCACATATGGACAGATTCCTTCTTGATTGCTTATCAGGGGAAAGTAAGCAAATTTTACAATGATGAAAATAGGAGAGGATTTTCATACAGATTATTTGTGTATGTTTTCAAGTTATTAATTTCAGGATCAAGTTCAAGCAGAATTTCACTGTCATCCAAACCATATACAGGTTTACAGTGGAATGAAACAGTGGTGCGACATGCAAGTGAAGCCCTGTCTTTACAGGACCACACAGTACAAGTGACCAAGACACACTATATATAGTGCAGTGGCGTAACAAGTCATCCCCAGGCCCACATGCAGAGCTTCTAGGCCGCACTCCCCTTCTTCTGAGAAACAAACAATGGCAAGGTAAGTTCAGGAATACCTGATATGACAGCATGCAGAGTTCAAAGATGACCACTATGCTTCCCAGCAACATTGAAAACCTACCAAAATGCTGGAAAAACCTCTCCAAAGTATCCAAAAAAGACAAATGTCAGCATTTTAACCGTACTGCTAAAAATATAGCATTAAACCACCATGACTTCAATAATAATCTACTAGGGGAAGGTTAATCAGTGATACCTTCTCTTTGCAAATTTGCAGATGAGTGTTTGTCTGCACTGACTGTTGGTCTTTTGTGTTTTTTTTCACTGAAATAAGTGACAATTTCATGTTGACTAGGTCAATGGCAATGGTCCAAAATCACTTTAAATAAAAGCTTTTTACATTAATGTCCATTAAAACATAAGCATGTTTTTTCCTGTAAAGTTCAAAGCAGAACAGGTGATGTTTAATCTAATGGATAAATTAAGGTTAGAGAATGAATCATGACTACAAGGTTTTGTTTGGACAACAACAAATGGCAATCTAATGAACAGTCATTTCTGAGTCTATTCAAGCCTATTTGAGTTCATTTAAGTCTATTCAGTTCCATTTGGGTCTGTTTGTCCTCACAGAAGAACTGGGCCTATGGAATGCTGAGGAATTTCTGTTTTGGGAACAATAAAGCTTGGTTACTGATGGGGATAGTCATAATTGCAATATTTGACAGACCAGTGTGGCTGTGGAAAAGGCTGTGCAGGGTTGGCTGTCAGTGGCAGCAGCTGTGTGGTTGTGTGCAGAGGAGAGCTATTCTTCACTGCGAGCGAGAGAGAATCAGACAGGGTACACAACCATAAAAGCACACCAGCTTCAGCCTGATCAAACAGCACAACCACTCACTGCACTCAAACTGCTTTACAAAGCCAAGTGTGTGTGTGTGTGTTGTGTGAGCTTTGTGTATTAAAATGAATGTAGATGTGAATATATGTCAAGCTGGTGGGCATGCATGTTGTTAGTTTGCAGATTCTAGGTTCTCCCACCACCCCTACCACCCCTTTCTCTCTATGCGTGCATGTGCTTCCCTGCATGTGTGTTGGCTTTCACTCCTGCTCTCAGAGGCCGAGGGGGAGCTGCTAGCAGATGGCACTGGCAGACTGTTACTCTTAGAAAGAGAGAAAGAGACGGAACAACAGAAAAGAGCAAGAACTGGAGGAGAGCATAGAAAAAGAAGAATGAGTAAGACAGATATCTGCCCACACTGACCTAGAGAAATCAGAATGAATAGATATTCCTCATTGACAATAGATTAGACCTGGTCCACATGAGAGAGAGAGAGAGAGAGATGTTGGCCAACCACCCTGTGTGCTGTGATTGGCCATACTTTCACCATTTCATCTGTCACAAAGATTAAAATGTGTTTTACTGAATTTGAAGGCATTTTTGGTGTTGGATGATGAAATCTTTTCTAACACATATAGCTTGCATTAAGACACAAACAGTTAACATCAGATTACACCTGATGAAAGCATCAGCGTCAACATCAGGTTCAACTCAACAAAAGAACTCAGCTTCAATGTCATCTTTAAACAGATTAAAAACTTCAGTTTTGACCTAATAAAAACATCAGGTTCAACATGAGCCTCAGTTTCAACCTGATAAGAACATCAGCTTGAACTTCAGCTTCAGTCTGATAAAAAAAAAACTTCAAATTTAAAATCAGCTTTAACCTGATAAAAGCATCAGCTTCTACATTATACTTCAACCTGATAAGAACATCAACTTCAACATCAGCTTCTATCTGGTAAAAAGATCAGCTTCAACATCAACTTCAACCTAACAAAAACATCAGCTTCAGCATCAGCTTCAACCTGACAAAGACATCAATTTCAACCTGTTAAAAACATCAGCTTCAACACAGGCTTCAACCTTTAAAAACACTAGCATCAGCTAGCATCAGCTTCAATCTGAGAAAAATGCCATAATCAATATCAGTTTCAACCTGATAACATTTTTGCCTTCACCCTGATAACATCACCTTTCACCACATAAAAACATCAGTTTCAACATGAGCTTCAGCTTCAACCTTATCAAAACATTAGTTTCAACATTAGCTTCAACCTCAGCTACAACGTGATAAAAACTTCAGCTTCAACCATTGAACACAGATGCAGAAGTAAAAAGCGTCATTGAAAGCCACATATATCTACAGCAAGGAGAGCCACTAAAAAGGTGCTGGCATCAGTTCAGCGGTCGTAACCCTGTGCCAGGTCCAGCCACTTTTGGCAGTCGGAGTGCAACCTGGCAAACAGAAGGAAATGAGGAGAGTGAGGATGGTCGGACAAGGAATGAAGAAAGGAAGGATGAGATCATTTGGGAAAAGAGGAGGGAGCACCTGGCTCTGACGGCCCAGTTTTGTATGCCAACTCTAACTGGACTTGTGTGTTTCCTGTGTATTTGTTTAAGTGCGGGTCCACTTATTGGGGTCAAGGTGCTCTTTCAGGAGGACACACATGTGGGTAAAAGCAAAAAGATGGCCTTGACGTCATGCGCCCCCTCTGTAGCTATGACATCAACTGCAGAAAAAAAGCAAGTCGATAAGGTGTGTGCATGTGTGTCTGTTTGAGAGAGAAGACAAAAGTCTGTGTGTCAGGAAGATGGGGGGTGGTTACAGCTAATACACACCTCATCCTTACATAGGAGGGTCTATTGACATACTCCTCCAACTTATGCACACACGCACACACGCACAATTCACACTACAAATCAAATTCAGTGAGAGAGAGAGAGAGAGAGAGAGCAAAGGAGGAGGAGAGAAAGGGATGCTCTTAGCAGGTGCCAAATATTGAGAGAGAGGAGAAAGAGAGAAGCAGACAGACAGAGAGAGTGAAGGGGATGAACACTCAGCCACAGGTTTTCACACCAACAATCTCTGGTGAGTTTCCTTCTTTTCAAAATTTGCTCGATTTTTTTCATATGTTTGTATTAATGACTGTGAATATCTTAACCATGTTAATAGCATATTAATCAATATGACCAATAATTAGACCAACAGTTCTGATTAAGGACACTGGTTTTTATTCATTATTAATAAAAACAGTTTCATATCCATCAATGATTTTTGTTTCAGTTTTCAGAAATACCAGCTCATTCTCACTTTCTCATCATCTCATTCTCACAATACTCACCTTTAGTGTAGTTTATAATAAACCAATGCATTTAACATGCATTTACTCTGTTCAACGTGCTAATGTGCTTCACAGCAGGAGACTAATTTATGTACAGGTGTGTCTGTTCAAAGCCGCCATGCCGAGGCTTCAATAAGGCACTGTAACTACCATTAATCTGTGTCAGAGAGCTATATATGTCATGAATGAATGAATGTGTTCGGTTTAGCCTGAGTGTTAACGTGTTCTTCCTCATCTGTCAGTGCTACCTATATGTCCGTATATAAGAGTTCTTTACCTTAAGTGTTTACCCTTATATATGATTTAGCATGATATCTGTGTCCTAGTTAAATTAATTATGTTCCAACAGGTCTGTAAAAGTCTGTGAGTTCGGAATCGTGCGTGTATCTTCTGCGCGATGCTGTGTTCGGCTGTCCTGGCAGTGCTGCTGGTCTTGCTGGCCCCGCTGGACCCCAGCCACGCCCGAAGCCTGCACACCCCCGACCAGGCCATGCAGGTGGGCTGCCTCACTCATATCTGCTGGGGATGGGACATGTGGAAACATATAATCAGGATTGATCTGAAAACTCTGAATGATTATGATTGTTTTAGAATTTAGACTCTTTGTTGTTTTTTTTAAAGAATTCTTTCTCTTTACAATGTCATAGTTTCTTAGTTGTTTCTCCTTTGTTGTTTGTTCCCTTTGCCTTGATGTAAAACATCCTTGGATTTGTGGAAGCCACTACATAAATAGTGGTTAATAATAATAATAATAATAATGATAATAATAATAATAATGACTTGTTATTTTATACCCCTATCTTATTACGTTGTCAGTTTTTTTTATATAGCTACAGGTGAATCAGGAGATTTTAATTGCTGTTTTATTTTTACTGTTCCCCATGGAAGGTCATTGAGCAGTTCCTTGAGCGATACAATGACCTTTTGGCATTAGATGATTTGGAAAATCTCACCAGTGACCACCCAGAGGAGCCCGTGCAAGCATTTAATTCGGGGGTGAAAGTGGCAGAGTATCCCAAATGGATTGACATCCCTACTCAGAATGAAAACTCCTGGCTCCGTCTCCTCAAGGGCACTCTGGCCAATCAGAAGCGAGCCTTATCAGACAGGTCTCGGAGGGGCTGGAATCGTGGCTGCTTTGGCCTAAAATTGGACCGGATCGGCTCTATGAGCGGCCTTGGCTGCTAATGATGGACAGAGGGACAAGACCAATGGGAGGTGACTGTTCTGCTAAGCTTTAGATAGAGGTTGCCTCCAAGAACAGATCTAGAGCTAGTTTTACCCATCTTAACTTACATGGTCAGCATCAGAACTTCTCTCAGATCAGCTGTTGGGGGCAACTTCTAGCAGCTTCTATTGAACATGCAGTGGAAGACTCGATAACTACATGGGTGACCTCCTTATGCTGTTTCTTTCACTCCGCTTGTGTCTTACTGTACTGTAAATTGGTTTATTACTATTAAGTGCTGTAACATTTTAGTGTCTATTCGAGATCTGTCTGTACTGTGATGGTAGAGGAGTGAAATTAAGCTCTGTTCACTTATATTATTATGTTAGATAACGCAAAGAACATTTTATCTTTTGGATTATAGGGAACCATTGGTAACTATATTTCAGACTGTTCTGGGGACATGCATGGTTAATGTTCAAAATTAACATGGTTGACTTTTATGTTTATGTATGTTTGGCATGAATAAAATGTTTCTAAAATCATTCATTTGCACTGTGTTAAAGATGTCAGTGGAGGCATAAAGTGCTCCTGGTTTTGAAACAGACAGCCACTAGGAAGAGGAATGAAGATGTTTTCACAGTAATACATCAGCCTAGAGGCTGTTCTTGCTCTTTCTATGCCCACACCATAGTCAGAAGGGACACTCTCAGCATTTCACCACCTCAGTTTTGGGCTCACCCTGCTGCCATCTCAGTAAGAGTCCATCTGAGCCCAAATATGTAATCACTTTTGATGCTGCTTCTTTCTTCGGCTTTATTAATTTGCATGTAAGAGCACACCAGTGGAAGCAACTACTAAGAGAGGGATGTGGGCTTTTGATGGAAAAATAGCCTTGTAAATAGAATGTGAAGATAAAGAATAATTTACCCAGTATAATTATCTCCTTTACACCTAAGCCTGTGCTTCAGTCTACTTTGAAGTGATGCTAATTTGAACATAATGGTTTCGTACTGAGAAAGCCTTAAAATGGAGGGAAATGCAAAACCGCATAATGAGGACCTTCTCATTCCATATTGCTGTGCGTCACTGATGTATTTCCCTAATTTCACAGTGGGGATATTTTTAGTGGTGCCCATATACCCACAACCACTGTAATGGTTTTCGAACAGTTTGGGAACTGCATGAAAAAATATTCCTTTTTTCATTTCTTGCCAGTAATTCTATTCAATGTGCGTGTTTGTGTAGGCGTCAGGATTACAGATTTAACCATCTCCTTTAAATCCCTTACATATCAGGACTAAATGTCTCTCACGCTCAGTCGTTTCATATGAGAACCACGCGTCAGGTGTGTGTGTTCTTAAGGTCTCCGGTATCTCCATTATTTAGGTCAGTCTGTATAAAACTACCTTAAATACCCAGTCAGATCTGTTCCCCTCGCCCCCATACCCCCACACAGACCTGCTTTTTCCCTGGAAGTTTGCACTGTTTAAATCTTTTCAGGTTTCAAGATAGACCACAGTCTTAAGTGAGCAACTGACTTTGACATTTCTAAATGCTCAAAAATGTTAAATAAGATGGAAATAAATTGATTTGAATATACTGTGTGACTCCTAAACTATCCCCTTCACATTAGCAAATCATGTTTTGCCTAATGAAAACAGGCTCTTCTCATTATTTATCTTAACAATAGTAATCTTTCTTAGTATCTCACAGTTTTACATTTTCTGCATATGCCAACATGTTTTCTTGTGATAGTAACACACTGGCACAGCAGTTTGACACTGATTACTTAGATCCAGGGTTTCTATAAGTTTAGAAGAAGTGAGTTTGTTGGTATATTTTTGTGTAGTTTAAACTGAAATTTTGAGGCAGGTTCAGGACTCAATAGAAAATATCGCTGTTGTTGGAAGAAAACCTTGTATCTCCATTTTTGATGTTTTTTTCAGTTTCTGACATAATTTGAAAATACTTGTTACCCTTTACATTATATGCACATTTCATGATAAATGAACTAAAAGAACCAAAATGACCAATGGTTCCATTGACTTACATTAAAAGTAAAGTAGTTTTTTCCTTCTCCTGTAAAGTTATCATTTTGGAGATATAAGGTTTTCTTCCGACAACAGCGATATGTTGCATTCTGCTAAGGCACAGAACATATATTTTGAGAGAAATGCCTGTGTGGGGGAGGAAGGCTAAGGCTATCAACTAGCAAGAGATGCTTGAGGGTTTGAACTTATAGGACAGGAACTGTGGCAAAAAAAAAAAGAAAACGTACCTGAAAGCTGTGGGATTTATAGTTAGAATCAAGGCAATTACACTAAATAGTTTGGTACACTGTATTTGACTGAATAATAAAAAATTTATTTAAAAAACATGCTTCAGTGAAGTGGACTCAATTAATCAATTTAATTTTGTGCACTTTTTGTACAATTAAGAAGATTAAGAACAATATGTGTTCTTTTACTCTAATTTGAGTAGGTAAACTTTTTAAATCCAATCCAGAAACCAAAATTCATTCAGATGACTTTTAGAAAGTGACTTTCAGTGTCATAGGTTCATATTTCAAACTTTTAAACTAAAAACAGTCTTTTTCTAATGTTTTCTAAAGAGTCACTTTCTAATGTTTCTATCAGCTCGTTGATTAACATACCAGAAGTAAAGCCACAAAATCACTGTTCTAAATATTTCATTTAGATGAGGTGTTCTTTTTTTTTCAAAATTTCAGCATATTTTGAGTGGTTTGATGTGAAATGGTTCACTTTACAGAAACTTGGATTTGTGCCTTCTGAATTTGTATATACACTCACTGAGCACTTTATTAGGAACATTTCTGTGTATTTACGCTTTGTTCAATTTATCAGCTCCACTTATCATGTAGGAGCACTTTGTAGTTCTACATCACAGACAGGTAGTCCATCTGTTTCTCTGCATACCTTTTTACCCCCTTTTCACCCTGTTCTTTAATGGTCAGGACCCCATAGGACCACCACAGAGCACTTATTATTTATTATTTATTATTTGAATGGTGGCTCATTCTTAGCACTGCAGTGACACTGATGTGGCGGTGGTGTGGTAGAGTGTGTTGCGCTGGTGTGAATGGATCAGACACAGCAGTGCTGCTGGAGTTTTTAAACTTCTCAGTGTCACTGCTGGACTGAGAATAGTCCACCAACCAAAAATATCCAGCCAACAGTGCCCTGTGGCCTGTGACCACTGATGAAGGACTAGAGGATGACCAACACGAACTGTGAAGAAACAGATGAGCTATTGTCTCTGACTTTACATCTACAAGGTGGACCAACAAGGTAGGAGTGGCTAATAGAGTGGACAGTGAGTGTACACGGTGTTTAAAAACTCCTGACCATTGAAAAACGGGGTGAAATGGGCTAATAAAGTATGCAAAGAAACAGATGCACCACAGTCTGTAATATAGAACTAAGTGCTCCTATATGGTAAGTGGAGCAGATAAAATGGACAATGACCATAGAAACAAGGAGGTGTTCCTAATAAAGTGATCAGTGGGTTTATACAGTCATAAAATAGTGGTAAATCTATAAATGAATGAATTAAAAAAAATTGTCTCAGGCATCAGGCAATGCATTCATGGCAGTTCCATGTAACAGCCTTATAAGAGGTAGCTTTTAAAGGCATTAAATATGTTTCACCACCACCATTAATAATTCTGACTTGATAAGTTTCTATAGAATTGAATATTTACAAATCAAACCACCCCAAATGGCTTTATTTATATGTTAATGGTTTAATCAGAAAGCAGAAAAAATCAGAAAGCAGAAATTTTGAAAACTTGGTGAATTTCCCCTCAAATGCAGTTCAAAGATCTAATGCAGGTTATCAGTCTTACCAATAGATGGCATAATATCTAATTTCGGAAGCACTCCAAACTCTTCTAGTCAGCCTAGGGTGCACTTTAACCATGGCAAGATAGTGGACTCTGAGCTCCAGTCCACATAACATTGATAACGACCACACTGCCTCACAACTAACAGTTAATCTGTAACACACAGAGACACAGGCTGGACTGGAGAAATAGAGCTGGTTAAGCAAAAGAGAATGAGAGTTTGATCTTCAAAACAAAGTAGACATTAGATGAATTATTAAGTGTAAAAGTGAGTTGGTTAAAGTAAAGATGTGGGTTTGGCTCCAGTATGAATAAAACCTAACTTTTGCTGCCATGTTGGGTGAACCCTGAGACGATCCTATGTGACAGATGCACTGTGTTGCATGGAGGATAAGTTTAAGAGCATGTCTGATTTCATTGAAATCATTTGCTCCGGTTGTCAGCAAGTGAGGTGGCCTGTTAGGAACACTCCACTGAAGCAGATGCAGCTGCATTTATAAAGGGTGTGGGGTCGGCCTTCGAGTATTTGTTTATTTTTAGCTTGACCGTGGCCCCTCTCCAGCACATTCTCTAAGCTGGGCAGAAGGGGAGCAAAAGAGGGCGAGAGGGAAGAGGTCTGTAGGCAGAAACCTGAACATGAACATGCACTCTGCACGTCTGCACGCATGGGCAAAGAAATCACAGCACAAACTGTTCCAACTTAGGTACAAATGTACCTAAAATGAAATAAATATACATATAAGATCTGTTTAATTAAAAGTTGCATTCTGTATTTAAAAAATAGCTCAAACATAATCAGAATGTTCTAGAAGCAGATTGCTGTTTAAGCTGAAGCAGCTTCATATTTGTCTCAACTCATTTCAGAAGAGTCAGAAGGACAGGCATGAATAAATTGAGTAGGTGGCCGTAAGTCAATTTACATGCAAGCTTTGGAGCTTAAATGCTAATTTTTTAACTTCTGGCCCTGTAACAACATGCAAAAATCAAATCACACCATTTTATTCCAAATCAAAATAATTTGTAAACACAAATAAATATTTTGTGTTTGTTTCTCATAGTTGTACCATATAAGAACTGGCAATATGTAAAGCCTTGCACTGTATGTATACGAACGTAAGAGCTCCAAGCACTGTACTTTGGTCTTCTAAGCACTTACTAAGCAGTCTACTAATGCATGAAAAAACATCTCCCAGTTCAGGTGCCAGTAGCAATGCACTTTATGCCCATCTCCTTTTGACCTGTTCTTGCAACACTCCTGAAAACTTTTGAAAGGTGTCCGTGGATGTTAGTACAAGTCAAACTCTCCTAGGTGAAAATGGAGTCAGCTGTTAATGTACTAAGGGCAGAACTGTCTACATTAGGTACTTACTCTACAGTATAAACCCACAATGTATTTTCAGTTTCTATTTGAAATAAAAATCAGTGATTTAAAGCCACAAACATATTCATCTTAAATGTATTTTGTTGTCATTTTTGCAAACGTAAATAAACCAAAATATACATTCAAAATAAGCTACAATATTTTGTTGCTGGAAAAAAAAAAAGATATTTAATTCTTCCAAGCAATTTTGGAACATTACTATTTGTCAATTCATAATGAAATTTTCACACAAGTAAATGATTTTTTTGTTTTTTTGGAATGTGACAGACAGATAGATAGCCTAATGCTAATAAAAAGAA